AGGATTTTGTGAAGGTCTGCGTCACCTGTCAGCAGTACAAGTTCGACCACCTCAGGCCGGCCGGTCTGCTGCAGCAACTGCCGGTTCCGTCTGATGTGTGGGCTGACATCGGCATCAACTTCATCGAGGCGCTGCCCAAGGTGCAAGGCAAGACGGTCATCCTCTCCATCGTGGATCGCTTCAGCAAGTACTGCCATTTCATCCCCCTGGCACACCCCTACACCGCCGAGTCCGTCGCTCACGCCTTCTTCGCCGACATCGTTCGCCTCCATGGCGTTCCGCAGTCCATCGTCTCGGACCACGATCCAGTGTTCACCTCGGCGTTCTGGCAGGAGCTCATGCGGCTCACTAGGACGAAGCTCTACATGTCGTCCGCCTTTCACCCGCAGACGGACGGCCAGACCGAGGCCGCCAACCGGGTCATCGTCATGTACTTGCGCTGCTTCACCGGCGACCGCCCCCGGCAGTGGCTCCGTTGGCTGCCATGGGTGGAGTACACCTACAACACCGCCTATCAGTCATCGCTCCGCGAAACTCCGTTTCGTGTAGTCTATGGCCGGGACCCCCCGACCATCCGCTCCTATGAGCCCAGCGAGACCCGCATCGCAGCGGTCGCCCAAGAGATGGAGGACCGCGCTGCCTTCCTCGACGACATCCGCTATCGCCTTGAACAGGCACAGGCGGTCCAGAAGCGCGTCTACGATCAGCACCACAGGCCGGTGTCCTTCCAGGTTGGCGATTGGGCTCTTCTTCGCCTTCGGCAGCGGGCAGCAGCATCCCTCCCACGCTCGGCAACAGGGAAGCTCAAGCCGCGATACGTCGGGCCGTACCAGGTGGCGGAGCTCATCAACGAGGTGGCTGTGCGGCTACAGCTTCCTCCCGACGCTCGCCTTCATGATGTGTTCCACGTCGGCGTCCTCAAGAAGTTTGTCGGTACCCCACCGGCCGTTCCACCCCTGCTACCTCCGCTCCTGCACGGTGCTGTGGTGCCTACACCTGCTCGGGTGACTCGAGCTCGGCTGGCCCGGGGAGTGCGCCAGGTGCTCGTTGAATGGCAGGGAGAACCACCTGCTTCGGCTACATGGGAGGATCTGGACGACCTCCGTGCTCGGTTCCCTTCCTTTCAGCTCGAGGGCGAGCTGGACTTCGAGGCGGGGAGAGATGTCATGTGCGGACGCACATATGCCAGGCGCGGACGCGCCCGCGACGTGCGCCGCGCGGCTGAGCGCGCTGAGCGCGCTGGGCAAGCGCTGCATGGGTTAGCCTCTAGTAGCTAAAGATAGAAACTTAGATTAGTAAGTTGTTTTGGAAATTCCTAGAATCAGGGAGAGCCTTCTCCATTTCGGTTGGGCCATTGGCCATATATGCTTGTAATCGCTTGACAATCAGCAAAGGAAGAATTATATCCCTAATCTCTCTCTCTGTTAAGCCTGCGGTTGAGGGGGATAACCTCACCGGAGAAGACGGCCGACGGCTACGAACTGCGTAGCCACGGTCCGGCCAGTCGGGGGTTCGACGCCCTTGACAATAGCTGTCTTCCAAGCACTCCTATCTAAGGCTAAGTCTTTGGGTATATTCCATCCTTTCAAGTCTCATTTTATTGCCTCTACTCACGTCAACTTTGGTCTTCCTCTGCCTCTCTTCACGTTGTTATCCTGGCTTAGGATTCCACTACGCACAAAAATTACGGAGCAGCAGTCATTGCAGATATTTCAGTTCATTTCTATGATAATGTCGAATTAAAATTGAAGTTCGGAGTTAGGACCATTCAGATTCAAGGCTGAACCGCTGAAGCATCTAACATCATACAGAAGACCAAAACAGATACATGAAAATAATTATTAGTTATTTTTGGAACAGATTCAACAATCCTCAGCCGTAGATATAGTTATCTAGATATAAGTCTCTGCTTCCTTCAAGATACTAATTAATATGAGTCGTTTTAGTTGTAAAGATTTGCAAGGGCTTGCTACCTGAGAAATTTTTCCCTTGCTTATTACCTGATTCTAACAATGACAATGATAATCCAGCACACTACACTAATGTATTGTCTTGGCTAACATAAAGTCAGAGAGTTATAATGCCTCATGAATTGTCATGCATACACAAATCTTTTCTTCTTTAGAGGAGGTCCACTATTGGTGCATATTGAAATGGTTTAGCGACCAGTCCCATATTGAGATGGCCCAGCTCATCGCCTTCACGCAGGACACAAACTTCGTATGCCACATCTTCTCTGCATTGTAAAATTGGGATCAGCCAGGGTAATTTGTAGTTTACATTACCAAATTACAAATTAGTCCATCTATAAGTTTTTGACAAAGGAAGAAACGTGTGAGCATTGAACAGCACAACAAAGAGAATTAAATTGTCAGCACAAAAATCAGCTAAGGTGTCTTCTGTATACCTTAGACATTGTGTCTTCCAACTAAAACCTATGTTTATATGGGAGGGCGACATCGGTGCGGGAAGTCATGGACACGGGGCTGCGGAACCTCGTCCAAAGACGGCTGACCGCTCAAGCCACCGCTGAGTTGGAGCGGCTAGAAGAGCTACTCCACAGCGTGGGGTTCAACAACGCCCGCGACAAGAGGACGAGCTTCTTCGAGCACGACTCCCACAAACTCATCTCGAGCATGATCTACCGCGCCTCGACGCAAGGAGAGCGCCCGTGCCCATCCTTCAAGTTCGTCTGGAAGAACTTCGCTCCCCCACGAGTTAAGTGCTTCGGGTGGCTGCTCACCAAGGAAAGAATCCATTGCCGAACGTCCCTGGTTCACAAACACATCCTCCAGGATGCACGGTGCGAGATCTGCAAGATGTATGACGAAAGCGCCGATCACATTTTCTCAGGCTGTTCCTTCGTTCGTAGTTTCTGGGAACGGATCGGATGGCGGCCGGAGGGGATTGCCAAGGTCGCTGAACTTTGGAAGACTCAGGTACCGCCCCATGTGCACGAGAAGGTGGCTCACCCTCTGATCTTGCTCTATTGCTGGGAGATTTGGCGCCACAGGAACGACGTCGTGTTCAGGGGGTTAGAACCCAGCACTGACAGGCTCATTGCCACCTGCAAGGAAGCAGCGGCGTCCTGGAGCTGCAGGATCCCGAGAAAGGACCTTGTGATCGCTAGTAACTGGAGATTTTTGTTTTCTATGTAATCTCATCCTCCCCCCAACTGCTGATCACTTGATGTAAAACCTTAAGGGCTTTGCCCCTCCACCCACCAGGTCACCGGCATCTGTGGAATGGAAATCAGGTGGGTATTTTCGATCCCCGAAGTTGACATCAACAAAATACGGGAAACACTAAGAACGCTACTGAAGACCATGTCAACGTCACTTATTCGTGATTGGAAGGAATTATACATGCTGTTACAATAAGCAATAAATGTTTATTTGAATGTGTTTTATGCACTCGCAACAGAAGAACAAGAAACAAAGAGAGCATTAAGAACAAAATAAAAAAATTGTAAGCTTACGTCTCTGCAGCCTGTCTTCCCTTCCCCAATGGAGCACCGAAGTATTTCTGTTCAAGTTTGTAAAGTCAGTAAACATTATGTATTTCAAATTCACAAGACTCCTAAAGCGTAATGCTACGTAAAAACAATGCCATGCATACTGAAAATGAGCACGCAACTGATGGAAGACATAATTCATGTAAAAACTAACACAAAGAGCCTTTGCACTCACGTCGATACAACTATGAAACAATTTGCCAGCCATCTGCTGTTAAACCTGCAAATGACAATAAATAAAAGTAATTTGTGAAAACAAACATAGTTCATAAAAAATGGCTAATGGAACATGAACCTTTGCAAGAAAAGAACATGTATCACCAAGAAAATTCAAAAGGAAAAAATTTCAATAGATACAACATCTTTAATCCTGCTCCTCTATTTATTCATCAATGGCATGATTTTGCATCAAAACCACTATCAATTTTGAGTCACTTGTAAAGGCATTACCAAGCCTGAGTGCCCGTGCACTGAATGGATCCTGCGGTTTGACCCTTCCAGCATTATCTTTGAGGTTAACCAGCTTCTCATCAACACCCTAAAGGACCAACCACCAAATCGGGATGCAGTCGTGACTTGGGCAACTCAAACAACTTTAGCACTGAACCGAAGGATTTTTTTTTTTTTTTGAGAAAGCCAAATCTTACCAGGACAATGCCATATTTGCACTTCATCCCAACTACAGTCCTATTGACAAATACCAGGGCGTCACCAATAAGATTACATGGAATAGAAAATGGGGAACAAATAGCGAAATAGCTGAAGTTCGGGTTTGGATGCCCGGTTTCGCACGGCAGGAACGGAAAAGGGGTGTGGATGGGCGGTCGTCTCCGGCGAAGATGGAACCAAGGCCTGGCGAAGATCTGGGCACCTGCCGTCGGGCGTCGGCGTCGGCGTCGGCGCGGTCGCGCAGTTGCCGCACGAGAAAGGGAGCGCGCGCGCACGCGGGGGTGAAGGGGAGAAGACAGAGCTGATTGGTGAAGCGAGCGCCGGAGGGCACGGAGCGAGGGCGGCGCGTGATGGGACGCGGTGATGGAGGCCTTCCTTCTCACGGAGCGCTGATCGCGGGGAGTTTGCCGGAGGCGCGGGTCGGGGAGATTGCGGGGTATCGGGGAGCGACGCCAAGGCGCGGGATCGTCGCGCCAAGGAGAGGTGGGCACGGGATTCTAATTTCCGTTGCCGCGAATACGTTGGGAGAGGAGGGGTTTGTGTTGTAACAGAGGAAGCAGCGAGATCAACAGAGATCACAAGTGTGATTACTGAGCATTAAGGCCGTGATCTCCACCACTAACACCCTGTGATCATGCGCGATCTGTAAATTTGGCAGGTGAACTTGCATTCCTCTAGATTATCTCCACATTTAACCCTCTCCTTCTTGTTTCTTGTGTAAGTAGGCACCAAACCCCAGCTAATATAATAACTCCACACCAGTGCAAAGCGAAACGAGATTCATATGGACAAGGGATCGAGCTCCCGCACCGCGTCCATGGAGGTTGAGGGAATGGGGGTGAAGCAGGTGGAGGACGGAGAGGAGGAGGTACAGGCGCCGAGGAAGGAGGAGGAGGAAGCGTCGTCGGCGGCAAAGGAGCTCGACCTCCTCGGCGCGCTCGGCTCAGAACCGCCGGAGGCAAAGGCCGTGGAGACAGCGGCGCCGGGAAAAGGTAAGGAGAAGGCAATGGTAGCGGTGGCGGAGGAGGAGAAGACTCCGGCAAAGCGCTCGTTCAAGTGCAACTACTGCCAGCGTAAGTTCTACACCTCGCAGGCGCTGGGTGGCCACCAGAACGCGCACAAGCGCGAGCGCTCGCTCGCCAAGCGCGGCGCCGTCGCTGCGGTGGCGGGGCGCGGGCTGTACGGAGGCGCCACCGACCCCTTCCTGCCGCCACACCACCTCCACTTCGTCCAACACGCCTGGCCGTCGTACTCTGCAGGCGGCGGCAGCAGGCCGTCGCCGTTCCTTGGGTTCGGACGGGGCTCTGCCGCGGCGCCGTTCTACGGCATGCACCACGGGTGGGCCGCGCATGCGCACACGCAGCCGTCTATGGCGGGGCTCACCCGCCACGCCGGTGCCGACCGCCCAGTCTACACGCCTCACGGCTACGGCTCCTCGTCGAGGCCCCCTGCCCCAGCCGTCCTCGACTCTGGGATCGCTGGGCTCCGGTGGTCCGCCGCCGTCGACAGTGGCGCTGCCGCCAGCAGCGACCCTGAAGTGCCGACGAAGGAGGAGGAGGCGCAGAGTTGCAAGATAGACCTGAACCTCAGGCTCTAGCTCAGCGTGAGCTCCATGTTGGGGACCCCATACGGTACTAGTGATTTGCGCGCGCCTTGCGCACGTAGACAACCATGTTCTAACCAGAATTTGCCACAAAATAGAGTAAGGAACATAAGGTCAATCGTCAAAGCAAATCTTTAAATGAATGCTGAGATGTTTGAATATTTCAAATATTTTACGTGAGTTATAAAACACACGAACAATTGGGATGATGTGTAGCCTCCTAATGGCCAGAGGCCCTGCGGTTCTCTTGATCTTAGCCCTTGTTTAGTTCCATGAATTTGGAATTTGGGGCTACTATAGTACCTTCGTTTTTATTGGGCAATTATTGTTCAAACATGGACTAAGTAGACTCAAAACGTTCGTCTCGTAATTTCCCACCAAACTGTGCAATTAGTTTTTTTTCCGTCTACATTTAATGCTCTATGCATGAGCCGTAAACATTCGATGTGACAAGTACTGTAGCACTTTTTGGGATTTTAGACTCCAACTAAACAAGGGCTTAAATGCTCTGTATTCGGCAGCATCAGTCTGAACAAGAATAGTCAGTCAGATAACACATACTTTTGAAACATAGCAATTGTGAAACACATAAAGCCCTACGACAAAAATTACGGAGCAGCAGTCATTGCAGATATTTCAGTTCATTTCTATGATTATCTGGAATTACTTTTAAGTAGTTAAAACCGATAATCAACAGATGGCCAATAAAATATTTTTCTTCTTGTGCTATTATGCAGTTAGAGGTCAATTTCTATCTTAGCCAATAAAATATTTTTCTTCTCACTTTCTACTCGTCAAACTTACTATCTTAGCTTCAATGTGACATCAAAAGAACAGATATGATTGCTCCTATAGTTGGGACTGTTGTCTGGATAGTTGGCAAAAGTTTATTATTTTGAAGATAAAGAGCAGTATAACTATCAGCTCCATTATATCATAAATATTAAAATCAGGTTTCGCAAAATAAATAAATAAATCAGAATGCAGCGGATGGGTCAAAGCCATTCTGATGATTACAAAAAATGTGTGATCTTAGTAAGGACCAGTAATACAGTCTAACAGAAAAAAAAAGCAAATGACCTACAATGATTACAGCAGTATATAGTTCAGCCTTGGTGAAATTGTAACAGCGAATTAGAATAGCATCACAAAGTTTTCTCAAGTGCATGGGAGAACTGCATATCGTTGCATTAAGAACAAAGATCCAGGTAAAATACCCAATCAAAGCAGTAGAAAGCCAGCCACAAACTGAAAAAAATAAACGACGACTACTTCCAGCACTGAGCACGAACTCAACCCAATGCAAGCTGTGTCAAACCTTTGGCCTCAGACAGGGCCATAATAGAGAGTTTAGACTTATAAGATCACAAAGCTCGTAAGGTTTGGACCTTAATACCTAGAAACAGAAATGAAATGTTGCGAGCACAAAGTATTCATAGCTGATACCACGTCAAAAACAGCAGTCAGAGCATATAGGTACAGAATATGTACAACTGTGTAATATAGGATAATAAAGTCATAAAATAATAACATAAAAACAGAGAAGATACTGCAAATTGACTACAAGAATTAATCCAACTCTGATCAAGACCAGAGCACAATGACAAGTAGACAACCATTAGGTTTACTGGGTGGTTGTTATTATTGCGAACGAAATATTTACTTAAGGCTAAACACCATAGAAGTTAATCCTCAGAAACTTGGCCTAAGAGTCCAGAAATGAGTCGAGGATCAGCTGACTGCTGACCCAAGTTGTCACATACTACAAAGAAAAGAAGCCATTCCACAGATATAGCTTGAAATGACAGTAACGGAAAGTCCTAGTTTAGAGCAAACTCAGATCTGTCACCGCGCAATGTAGCCACTGCAACACCCTGCAGAGAGAACAGTATCTGTTAAAGAAGACACTTGTATCATAAAATGAAACGGAACGGGGAGCATTGTCTTCATGATGTAATTTGAAGCACGATTGTACAGGAAAACCCCTCTTACTTCAGGTCAAGGATCAGCTCAACGATCAGCACTGCAATATTTACATGGTGTCCAGTGGCCACAAAGCTTGTTACCTACCTACAAAGACACTAGATGAGGCTACTAGCATGCAAAACAATATTGTAATTGAGAAAGGGAAGGGGGGTTAAAGTTAAGGGGTATGTGGGTGGTGTGCGTGTCGTATTTTACAACTCTTCTTAATGCAATGATACGCAGTTCTCCTGCGTATTCGAGAAAAAAAAGGGGAGGGGGGTTCACCTTCTATACAGCACTTTGATATCCTGGCGGATTGCTTTAGTATCCAATAGTTCGTCCCCAGAGTCATCAGTATCAACTTGACCAAGCTTGAAGTCTTCCGTAGTACAGTGATCACTCCATTCAAACCACAACTTCGGTATGACTTCTTTCTTGAATGCTGTCTCATGGACCTTTTCCTCATCAGAATCGGCAGCTACAAGCCTGTATACAAACACCTTCTTCCGCTGTCCGGGCCTGAATGCACGCCCATTCGCTTGACGGGTGACAGATGGGTTCAGGTGTACATCTAGAATGACAACTCTCGATGCACCGACGAGGGAGATGCCCTCTCCACATGCCTTGATAGAACCAAACAGAACTTTTGCATCAGCAGAGTTGTTAAAATGGTCCACTGCCACTTCTCTGTCTTCTTGACTAGTATCACCAGAGATCATAAAAATCTCTTTCCCCACATGCCAGCCCTTCATCTTAACCAGTAGCCTTTCAAAAAAAAACTCATTGACTGAAAGCAAGTACTTTCTCTCTTGCAGAATTAGCAAGTGACAGGATATTCATGAAAAAAATTGGCCTTCACAACATCTTTCACATTGATAGAATCCTGCAGACTATCAACAAAATCATCTCTCAAGGTGTTAGCCCTGTTCTCAGCATTAACCTCTGAAAGTTGTGAAAGACAAGGATCAATGTACAGTGTGTTGGCCCACAGTTAGCCTCCCGACCACCGAGATGATCTCCAGACCACTCCGTTGGTCTCACAGGATCACCGGCTCACGACAGTGAACCACTCTAGCCGATCTTGCCGACCACCGGCTCAGACGAGTGGAGCACTTGTCGGTCTCGCCGAGCACGCGCTAGTGTTGCCGAGCACCCACTAGCCGTGCAGACCACGTACCGGCGTTGTCCGTACCCACACACTACGGATCGAGCTAGAAGAGGAAGGGAGAACAGAGCAAGCACGCACAATACAAGGCAACAGCGTTGGCCGAAGCCCTGTCTGTGTGATGGCAAATCTGAGCTCTCTTTACTGAGTTGCCATACATGTCTATTTATACAACTCTAACTATCTAGTCCATGTGCAGCGCCCATCTTTGGCACACTAACTAGATAACTTTGGCTGACAGGCTGACTCTGCGGCCGCCCCTTTATGCATTCCTCTGGTTGTGTAGGTGAGCCGTGCGGCGCCTGCACCTACAGCGGCTACTGTATCACAGCAGGGGGCAAAGTCGGCGCCGCCTTCCTCTTGTGTTGTTCACACGCCAGCAGCTAAGTCGGCGTCGCCTTCCTCTGCTGTGTTCTCACAAGGTGGCAGTAGATTAGCTAACAATCTTCCCCTAATCCTACTGCTAACCCTTGTAACCCCTCCATGCCGATCATCTCCTTTAGCTCCGTGAGTCGAAGTCTTCCGAGCGGCTTGGTGAGGACGTCCGCGAGTTGCCGACCAATTTCGACAAACTCGATGACGATCTGCCCTCCATCAACACAGTCCCTGAGGAAGTGGAACTTCACGTCGATGTGTTTACTCCGGTCGTGCAGAACCGGATTCTTCGCGAGGGCGATGGCGGGCTGGTTGTCCACCATCAGTGCTGGTGGGTGAGCTTCCACGCCGATTAGCTCACCCAGCAGCCGGCGTAGCCACACAACTTGGCACGCCGCTGTGGCCGTCGCTACGTACTCTGCCTCGCACGTAGATAGCGCTACCACCTTCTATTTCAGCGGCAGCCATGAAATTGGGGCTGACCCGAGGAAGACGAGTACGCCAGAGGTGCTCCGTCGTCCGTCGATGTCCCCCGTCATGTCTGCATCGCTGAACACCGTGAGCTGCAGCCTATTTCCCCCAGTCTTTGGGAAGATGATTCCATGATTCACCGTCCCCTTGACGTAGCGTAGTAGCCGCTTTACCGCAGGTCAGTGATCCTCTCTGGGATCCTCCATGAAGCGACTGACGTAGCCCACGGCGAACGCAATGTCTGCAACTCTAACTATCTAGTCCATGTGCAGCGCCCATGCTGGCACAGTAACTAGATAACCTGACAGGACTGACTCTGCGCCGGCCACTGCCTGTTCCTACAGTGTTGTAGGTGAGCCGTGCGGCGCCTGCACCTACAGCGGCTACTGTATCACAGCAGGGGGCAAAGTCGGTGCCGCCTTCCCTTACTGTGTTCACACACAGCAGGCAGCTAAGTCGGCGCCGCCTTCCCCTGCTGTGTTCTCACAAGGTGGTAGTAGATTAGCTAACACACTGCACTCCCTACTGCATTTTTTTAATCTATCATGAGTTTCCAACTTGTTGCAAATAATGTCTTTCTGCTTGGGTGTGAGCTTCAAAAACACGCTGAAATCTACTAAGCCAGGCAGTTCATCTAAGATATCACCCTTATAATAGTGAAGCACATCCTTTGTTAGTTCTCTAAGACCTCTAATAACATGTGCTTTTCTCTTGAAGTTTTCATCATTCAACAAGGTTCCTTCAACTGCCTCAGTGAATGCGGCATCAGCAAACCCTTTTGAACCTCTACCAGATATCTCAACTTGACTCATTATAAGTCTGGCAATAGGACAGGATGATTCCATCCTGAGAAACTTTGGGCGAACAAGATTCAAGATATTAAATACTTCCTCAACGTGATTCTCGAAAAGTGTACCTGAAAGAACCACTTTGTGTGGTGTTTCCACTCCATTTAGCGATTCTAGTACATCAGTCTCCCGATTTCTATGTGTATGACCCTCGTCAAGTATCAGAAGGTTGGGAACCTTAAGCAGCCTGTCCCGACATGCAGCAGTGACGTTGCTGCCCCCATCATCAGTGACAATTGTGGAGAACTGCTTGTATCCAAGAAACAGTATACTCATCTTGTCTTCCCAAGATTTGAGGATTTGCAACTGTTCTACTCTTTTGTCAGCCTTAACAGAGTAGAAATCATACAATGGTATATCCTGCACTTGCCATCTTTGAATTTCTTTCTTCCATGTACCTAGTATCCCTTTGGGCAGCACAAGGGGCCTTGCAGATGGATGCCTTGCCATGAAGCTCTGAATGAAGCTTATAAGCATAAATGTTTTCCCTGAACCTGGGGCATGAGCAAGAATGCAACCTCCAGGCTTGTCTCCAAACAAATTCTTAACCAAAAAGTTGAAACCTTCCAACTGATGCAGTTTCATTGTCTGAGCATGTCTAGGATGAATAGCAACATCTGCAATTATGAAATCTTCAGACAGTTTAACAGTACCACAGTCTATCTCATCAGCATCCTTAGAATGTCCTCCATAGCAATTTGTTTTTCTCCTTGAAGGCTGGGAAAAAAAAGTAGTCATGATAATCACTCGCTTTCTCCAATTCTATTCAGACTTTACATGCATGAAGTTTGAACTTCATGATTATAATATAAAACTGAAGTTACTTTATGAAGTTGCCAAACAGTTGCTCCTGAGCCAATACTAGCATGTTGTATATTATGTCATAACTCATGTACATCTCGACAGTAAAGCCATAACATCGACGAAAGGACAGCCACTATATCATGCACAGTAACAACCATTACCCAAACAAGAGACAAAGGGTAAAATATCCCCGATTGCTAAATAGTAAACAGTAATAACCAGATCAAAGAGATAATAGCAACCCCTAAGTTAGCAAGTTATTCAGGGGAGAAAAATAAAAAACACAAGCCCTCCTGTAGTTTCAGGCTTCCAGCAAAATGCCCTAATATCAAGGTTAATCTGCAAGCAAACATTTATTTAACAAACTATGAAAAAATACAGATTTTTATTTTTTAGAGTTAAATCCCAATAGTTTTCTATTGTTTGATATTAGTTGGCATTGTCGACAATAATGGTTTTGATATTCTCGATAGTTTATATTCACAACCTTTCCATGTGCATACAAGGTGAGGATAACCAAATTATCAAGGCAGACTACAGAACTTGTGCATATCAAGTAGAATAGGAAGATAAGCTAACAAAGTGTTCAAAATTTAAAACTGTAAAGAGTATTGGAAGGACTAATGTGAACGAGTATGGAACTAGTGCATATCACATGAAATGAGCAGATAGCAGCTCTCCTGTGTTTTCGATAAAAGAAATGAGCAGATAGGCTAACAGCACAGGAGTTCAAAACTTGAAACTATAAGGTGCATGAAGTAGAACTAAAGAATTAAAATTAACTACCAGACATTTTGCCAAAAAAAAAGAACACCCCAATTCGGTGACTGTGCTTAGAATTTTCACATGGCAAAAACTACATGCATGTATAAAAAAAATCCTCATATATCTTAAACAAATTACAAACCTTTTTCCACTGATAATCAATTATTGAATCAGCTCTTCTCACAATCATACCACACACACGGCACACATGGCCCAAATCTTCATGAATCCGAATGTCATGATTGCAGTCGATGTCCTCCATCTTTCCATCACCTTCCTTTTCATTTGCCACCTCATCAACTTCGTCAAGCTGGACCAATAAATATAACCAAACCACAAACAGTACAAACTGGTGACCAACAATTGAACTGAACAGTAAGGAATGCATTTTTGAACACTATAGCTAATGAATCTCAGTGCATTATTTAAACACTTAGCTCTTGTATAATGAGATACCCCCTTTTCTTGGGAATTATCATTTCACAATACAAGTCACAATTGTAATCAAGGTGTAGTCGTGCACGAAAATTAATTACCACAATACCAACAGCCACAAAGTTCTTGGGATCTTTTTGATAGACAATAGCCTAACAGGCTTAGATTCTTGAATTAAGTTTACAGAAGAGATTACATATAAAAAGAGAGGAGGAGGATGACCCAAAGGGCCAGCCGAGTCCCAAGAGGCCAGCCGAACCCCAAGGGACCAGCTGGGCATTAACTCAGCACAGCTAGCTAGGAGATTAAAGCTAGGAGATTACACAAGTAACTAGATGATTAAAGTAAATGACAATATTAATTCTAACACCCCCCGCAGTCAGATCGTTGGTGGAGCGAACGTTTAGACTGGAGCGAAAATCCATGAAGACAGAGGAAGGGAGCCCCATGGTGAAGACATCGGCGAATTGCGACGTGGTGGGCACATGAAGAACCCGGACTGCACCCATGGCGACACGTTCACGGACGAAGTGAAGGTCGATTTCCACGTGCTTGGTGCGCTGATGTTGAACAGGGTTGGTGGAGAGGTAGCAGGCACTGACATTGTCGCAGTAGATGAGGCATGCGGAGTCCAGGGGATGGTGAAGTTCCTGGAGCAGTTGCCGCAGCCAAGTTGCTTCAGCGACGCCGTTGGCAACATCCCGGTATTCTGCCTCGGCGCTGGACCGGGAGACAGTGGGCTGCCGCTTGGAGGACCAGGAGACCAGGCTGCCCCCGAGGAAGACGGCGTAGCCGGAGGTGGAGCGGCGGGTGTCCGGGCAGCCGGCCCAATCAGCGTCGGTGTAGACACGGAGCTGTGTTGGGGCTATTCGGGGAATGACCAGACCATGGCTGATGGTGCCCTGAAGATAGTGAAGGATCCGCTTGGCAGCGACAAGGTGAGTTTCCCGCGGATCATGCATATGAAGGCACACTTGTTGGACAGCATAGGCAATGTCGGGCCTGGTGAAGGTGAGGTACTGGAGGGCACCCACAAGGCTACGATAAGCAGTGGGATCAGCAACAGACGGGCCAGCATCAGCTGGTACCTTTGCACAAGTGTCAACTGGAGTGGAGCAAGGCTTGCAGTCACTCATGCCATGGCGAGCAAGTATGTCCAGAGTGTACTGACGCTGTGAAAGGAGAACAGAATCCATGTGGCGCTGAACTGCAACGCCAAGGAAGTGATGTAGGGGTCCAAGATCTTTCATGGCGAACTCCTTTTTCAGAGCAGTAATGACACGGTGAAGGAGTTGCTGAGATGAAGCCGTAAGGACAATGTCATCGACATATAAGAGCAAGTAGACTGTCTCGGTGCCACGGCTGAATATGAAGAGAGATTTGTCTAACTTGGCTTCAGTGAACCCTAGAGAGATCAGAAAGGAGGCAAAGCGGCTGTACCAGGCCCGCGGGGCTTGCTTCAAGCCGTAGAGGGATTTGTTGAGTCTACATACATGATCTGGAAGTGCAGGATCAGCGAACCCAGTAGGCTGAGAGCATTATACTATTTCTAAAAGAGTCTCGTGGAGGAAAGCGTTCTTCACGTCAAGTTGATGAATCAGCCAATCCCTGGAGTGTGCCACCGTGATGACTGTCCAAACAGTGTCTGGCTTGACAACCGGGCTGAAAGTTTCATCATAATCAACACCGGGGCATTGAGTGAATCCCCAAAGTACCCAATGAGCCTTGTATCTCTCCAATGAGCCATCGGCATGGAACTTGTGTTTGAAAATCCATTTTCCAGTAACAACATTGGCCTTGGTGGGGCGGGGGACGAGGTCCCAGGTGTGGTTGTCCTGAAGAGCCGCATATTCATCTTCCATGGCCTAACGCCAATGAGGATCAGCAAGGGCATCTCGACAGGACCGCGGTAGGGGAGACAAGGCCTCGGTATGCAAGGCGAGGCGAGGCTGTCGATAGCCTGTTTTCCACGGGTCGCCATGCCATGGGAGTTGGCGACCGGCGGAATGGAAACAGCACCAGCAGGAACTGGAGGATCGCTCTTGACATAGCGAGGTGGAGAGGGGACCATGCTAGAACGTCGAGGAGGCGCTCCTGCCGGGCGCTTGGGTGGCGGGGCAGGAGCAGGAGCACGCCTGCTGTAGACATGAATAATAGGCGGCTTCTGAGGCGCAATCACCGGGGGGAGCACATTGGCTGTAGACGTGGACGACGGGTGGAGCCAACGCCTGTATAGGGGGTGCCTGTACAAGGGGCGCCTGTACAGAGGACGCCGGGGACCCCCTGGACACAGCCGGTGGTGCCGGGGTGGAGGGCGCTGGCAGCACCGGGGCCCTGGACGCCGGCGTGCCTGCGCATGCCAGAGATGGTGCCAGAGGCACCAACTAGAAGGGGGCAGCAGCGCCGGGTGTACCTGTAGGAAGGGGAGACACTGGAATGGTGTCGTCGTCAGTTAGAAAATCAAGTTCCTGCTGAGGAGGGGATGGCCGGCTGAGGAAAAAAGGAAACGTTGTTTCGTCGAAAACAACGTGGCTAGAAATGATGACGCGGTTGGTGTTGAGGTCGAGACACCGATAGCCCTTGTGATCCAGTGAATAACCAAGGAAAGCACAGAGGGTGGAGCGGGGGGCAAGCTTGTGAGGAGTGGTGGCAGAAAGGTTGGGGTAGCATGTGCACCCGAAGGCACGAAGATCATGATAGGAGGGGAGGGTGCCATGGAGGGTGAAAAAGGGGGTGCTCATGTTTAGAGTTTTGGTGGGAAGGCGATTGATGAGATAGGTGGCAGTGGCTAGAGCATCAACCCAGTAAGAGGGGGGCATGGAAGCTTGGAAGAGGAGGGTGCGTATGATGTTATTGACGATGCGGATCATGCGCTCGGCTTTCCCATTTTGCTAGGAAGTATAGGGGCACGACATGCGGAGAGTGATGCCGTGAGCAAGAAAGAAAGCACGAGAGGCGGAGTTGTCAAACTCGCGACCGTTGTCACATTGGACTGATTTAATGGTGCAGCCGAATTGGGTAGACACATGAGCAAAGAAATTAGAAATCATGGGGAATGTATTGGACTTAGCGCGAAGGGGAAAAGTCTAGAGGAAATGAGAGCAATCATCAAGAATAACTAAATAATATTTGAAACCAGAGACACTAACAACAGGAGATGTCCACAGGTGACAATGGATTAAATCAAAATTCTTGGCTGCTCTAGATAGCGAAATAGAAAAAGGGAGATGAATATGACGCCCAAGCTGACAGGCGTGGCAGAGGGAGTCATCTTTAGGCTTGCTGCAGATAATGGAGGAGGACTGTGCAAGGGACTGAAGAGTGGCCTTGCCGGGGTGACTGAGGCGCCTGTGCCAGGTGGTTGGTGAAGGAGTGGCGACAAGGGCGCAGGAGCCAGTGGTGGATGAAGGGAGCTGAAGAGTGTAGAGAGGCCCCATGCTGTTACATTGGAGGAGGGTGTTCCGGGTACGAAGATCCTTCATAGAAACACCAAGAGGGTCAAACTCGACAGAAACACAATTGTTAGTAGTGAATTTTCAAACCGAAAGGAGATTTCTGATAATGTCGGGAGCTACAAGGACATTGTCGAGGCGAAAGGGTCCAGGAAGGACAGAATGGCCGATGCCAATAACAGGGAGGGTGGCCCCGTTGCCTACGACAATGGAGGAGGGAAAGGAAGAGAATGGTGTAGCGGTGACCATACCAGGGTTGGCGGTGATGTGGGAGGAGGCGCCTGAATCGATCACCCAATCCGAGGAACTCGGTGGTGGGGTGAGGGATACGGTGCTGAAGGCGCTAGCGAGACCCTCGAACGTCTAGGGCGCCCAAGCAGGAGGTGCCTGAGGGGGCTGCGGGTAGTAGGACCCAGAAGCCGGTGGTGGAGTGAAGTATGCCGGTGGTACGCCGGCCACCAGAGCCTGTTGCAGAGGTGCAGGCTGGACAGCGCGTGATGGAGGGCCACGGGCGTCGCCGGCAGTGGACCCTGGCCACATGTGGATAGAGTCGGTCCAGGGGTTGAGCAGCGAGGGCCACTGTGGTGTGGCTGGTGCAGTCTCGCCCTATGCACTGCTGTGGGAGCCACTAGAGCCGCGCCCGCTGCGGCGGCGGCGGCCGCGGTTGCCACTAGATTGCTGTCCAGCAGCAGCATGATGGCCAGTAGTGGCCTGATGATGGCGTGGAGGAGCAGGCGAGGACAAAGTGGGCGGCCTGATGGAGGATGCGGCGACGAGAGCCAAAGGATAGGCAGAGGGCGTCCCCATGTTGAGCTCGGCCAAACGGAGGTCAACACGAACATCGGCGAAGGACGGGAACGGCCTCTGGCGGGTGACGAGCTGGGACATGAACTGAAAACATTCATTGAGACCCCGTAGAATGTTCAGCACCAGAGTTTGGTCCTGGATGGGCTCGTCGAGGTCGGCGAGGTCATCCACCATGCTCTTCATTTTGCGACAGTAGTCATCGATGGAGAGGGCACCTTGGCAGAGAGTGTGAAACTCGGCGTCGAGGAGCATGGCGTGGGACTCGCGATTGTTGAGGAACTGCTGTTCAATCCCGAGCCATGTTGTTCGGGCGGTGAGGCCATCGTGCTCATGGATGACGTCCAGGAGGTCGGCGGAGATGGTGTTGAAAAGCCAAGAGAGGACGACGCAGTCCATGCGTGACCATGCCAGATCGTAGGGGCGGGAGTCATCGCTGAGGACATGATCCTTCAAGGCGAAATGGCCGAGGATGAGGAGGACGTAGCCGCGCCACTTGGAGTAGTTGGAGGATTGAAGATCAAGAACGATAGGGATGAGGTTCTTGATGTTCTGGATGGCAGCAGCTTGAGTGTGGAGGTGGGCGATGGCCGCTGCTTCAGAGGAGGTGAGTGGACGTCATCATCCTCCGGATGCTCGGGGCGGAGGCGATCCCGGAGGGCCGCGGCCTGCTGCTCCAGGGTATCTGCCTGCGCGCGCTCTTTGTCAAGAGCAGCAGCGGCGGTGCGGACATGCTCCTGGGCGGTGGCAGTGGACTTGAGAAGGGCAGCTTCTTCCTTGAGCTGTTGGCTGCGCTCTGTGTTGGTGGAGCGCAGAGAGGAGGCCTCATCCTCCAGGCGCTTGGCAGCAGAGAGGGCTTCGTCACGGAGCTTGGTCGCGGTAGCCATGGTGGAGGAGCTAGAGGTGGCCATGGGCGCGCGCAGCAGCCTAGGGTGGGTGGAGTGGGAGTGGAAGCAGAAGGATCGATGGTTTAGTCTGATACCATGATAGACAATAGCCTAACATGCTTAAATTCCTTGAATTGAGTTTATAGAAGAGATTACATATAAAAAGAGAGGAGGGTGACCCAAAGGGCCAGCCGAGTCCCAAGAGGCCAGCCGAACCCCAAGGGGTCAGCTGGGCATTAACTCAGCACAGCTAGGTAGGAGATTAAAGCTAGGAGATTACACAAGTAACTAGGTGATTAAAGTAAATAGCAATATTAATTCTAACACTTTTGTTTACTTGCATTTACACATGGTTGACTTGACCTTACATTGAAAATCGAGTGTATTTCTCGCCAGCAGGCAGGCAAAATATAATGTATTAGCAACAAAATGCTCTATAGATATAACACCCTAAAATTTGCTCTTTTTGAAATAGATGTAAATTGAGGTAATTTTAAATTTTTGTGCTCATTAAAACATAGGGAAATAATGATTTTTCATTAAATTAAAATTCATCATAAGGAGTAGCAATATGGATGTGCATACATGCCGGTGCATTTGATCTATTGTAATGAGTGGTTGAATCCAAAATTCAAAATGAATTTAAAATGCTTTTGAAATTGGCTTTGAAGTAAAAGAAAAGAAAAATAGAAAATAAAAGCATTTAAAAAGTTGTAAAAAAATTATTTTTGAAAACTTACTAAAATTTCTTATTTTTATTTGAGTTGAAAAGTATATTTGAAACTATATTTGAATTGATTTGACTTTGGATTTCAAAATTTCTTAGGAAAATTTGAGAAGAAAAAGAAAAGGGATTCTTTCTCTATTCCCCTTCCTCCCTGGTTTTGGCCCGAAGGCCCATCACCGTAGCTGCTCTCCTTTTTCCCACCAGGCCCCAGCCCTTTTCTCCCTCTCTTTTGGCTTCGGCCCAGCCGCAGCAGCGCCGGCCCCTTCTCCTCTCACGTGTAGGCCAAGCAAGCAGCCCAACAAAACCTCGGCCCAACTCAGGCAGGCCGGCCCAGCCACAAAGCCGCGCCGACGCGTCCGCCCTCCCTTTCTCTTACGTCGACTGGTGGGACCCGTCTGTCAGTTTTCTTCATCCTCACGTCACCGGACTCTGCTCCACCGACGGGAGTCCGCGCTGCCCCCGCACCCTTACCAGCAACCATAGCATGCCTAGCCGCTCTCGCTTGAGCTCGCACCACCGCCGCCGTTGCTCCAACTCCGCCCCGTATCCGCCCGATTCGACGTGACCTCCACGCCAAGCTCCCTATAAAGATCCGCGACCCCCTCCGCATCCATCTGCTCTGCCGCTCTAGCCTTGGCTCCACGTTGCCGCCGTGTTTCAGATCTCACTGAGCTCGTGTTCACCCGCCGCCTTTGGTCTCCACCCCGGCAGCCCCTCCGACGTTGGGAACCCCCTTGGTGAGTTCGCCTCGTCCTCCTCTCTCTTTACGTGATTTTCCCGCGTCCAATGATGCCCGGAGTCGTCACCTGGACAAACTCCGGTGAAGCCGAACTGACCCGGCCATGGCGCCGCCACCTAGAAGCAGCACACCAGCAAACTCATCCCCAAGCCACCCCATCCGTCTGATCTCGATCGGACGATCTCAATTAGAGCATACCCCTTCGCTTCATAATCGGTGCACCGTAGACCCATGAACCCTGCCCATGGTGACACCTCAGCCGGTCCACCGCTAGCTTACCAGTGTGGCCCAGTCCCCTTCTGCCACGCGTCGTCCACGTGGACAATGACCGGGTCAACTCCACCAGCTCCGGCCGTTTTACAAAAGAGACCCCGAGTTTTTATGAAATCAACCTGTCGTCCTGAGTAGTTCAAAAATAATTCAATCAATACCCCTAGTTTTTATGTTTTGACCGTTGTGTTTTTCCAAAAACGACGTCCAGTCCACATGACTGTTTTAATTCGGTTTTTAATTATTTTAATACGAAATTGATTTCAAAATATTTACAGAATCGCCACTACCTTCTGTAGGCCATATCTTCTCAGTTTTAACTCCGATTTGACCCGTTCAAATTGCGTTAGGTTCGTATTTACGTTGTCTAGATGTTCATACCACTGCTAGATATGTTCTCAACTTTTAAAATTCAAGGTTAGATTTAATCTATTATTTTATTAAAAGAAAATCTTGTTTAATTCATATCTTCTACGTTTTAGCTCTGGTTTGACCTGTTCAAGTTGCGCTAGATTCATTACAACGAGATCTACGCGTTAGTAACAATGTTTATCGTGTCACTATTTCTGGAATTTTATGGTTTAAACCCTAATTTAAATAATAATTATGCAACTAGATTTTATAAATAAAATATAATTTGTTTTACTTTAGTTTCATCATTCAAATCTAAATTTGACTTAATTCAAATTATATAAGCTTTTATATAGTTAAAACACATGAAGTTTATAGTTTTATATTTTCTCTTATCAATAGATCTTTCGGAAGCCGTTTCTTTCAAACCGTAGCTCCGATTAGTGTGCCTCTCGCGACTGTGTGTTCGTAGTGACGGTAGAATTGTATTTCAAACTCTTTTACTTATTTTTTATGATTGGTGTATTGTTCTAATGTAGATATAATTGTATGCTATGCATGTATGTGTATGGATGTTTATGTGGTGTTTTACGATTACGTTCAGTCGGTGAGATATACGTGGTGATCAAGAAGAAGAAGAACATTGAAGATTAAAACTTATCGAATGATCGGTGTTTAAGGCAAGTATAGCATGTGATCATCCTTGTTGTCATATACACCTTTAATCATTTAATTCATGCTGCATGTGTCTACCTTGATTACCACTGAGGATTTTCTAGTACTTTGTACCTTGTGCCTTGATACCTATGGGGTATTGCATTGGGTAGTATGATGCTAGCGCTCAACTACAACCATGATCTTGTAACTTGACTAACGGAATATGCAATTAACACTAAAAGATGCTTTTTAGCAACATGGAACAAGGGGTAGAGCATTGGACTATTTTATGGTGTTCTAGATTCCTCTCCCTAAGGACTTATCTGTAAGCGAACATCCGGGACTTACAGTACAGCTGTGAGGGCTACATGGCTCTGGCTTTAGCTCAGTATGAGGATCTTTTCTAGCTTGTTAGTGGTTACCTTTATGGCGCAAGAGGAGCTCCAATAGGTATGATCTCGGTCTGCCAAGAGTGTGCACTTTGATTTCTTGGTATTTTGTTAGTCACTCCTTGGAGGGAGGTTCATGTTTATTGATGGGAAAACATTAGCAGCACTAGCTTGTTAGACGAACCTTTGAAAGGCTTTATAGTGAACCCTACCGACCTTCCTTGGTAGTGGGTCAAGAGATTGGCCGTCTCGGGCAAAAGGGTAAATCACAACTCATAGTGAAAGTGTACAACCTCTACAGAGTGTAAAACTGGTATATCAGACGTGCTCACGGTCACGAGCGGCTTTGGATCCTTACGGAATAGATGAAGAACACGGATGATACTGATGATGAAGATGCATACTAATGATTACTGTTTATGATGTTCATTATTCATGTTTACCTAATCATATGTTTGTATGGGCTTGTGAATAAACCTGTTGCCACCCAATTGCTAAAAGATGACTCATTAAAAACTAATCGCAGTTAACCAGTATCAGCCTTTTAAGCCTCATGAACCCCATGTTATATTTGTTGAGTACGACATGTACTTACACTTCTTTACTTTTTAAATTTTTGAAAAAATCCCGGATGGGTACCAGATTGCTAGTCTGGAGGAGTTAGGCTTGTGATAAACCAGTCAGTTGTCCCTGTGAATTGGAGTCTTCACCTGAAGATCGGAGTTGTCTTTCCGCTGTTTGCTGTCTAAGGATATATCATTTATAATAAGTATGTTATATATTAAGCATTGTCTATTGATATTACCTTTATTTGTAGCTATATGTGAGATTTAACTTCCTGAGCTCACATATGGTGTGTATCTGGTTTTGTCCTTAAAACTGGATACTACAATAGAGATCAGTGTTCAGTCTTCAAAAAAAAGATGATACAACATGTACTCACAAGCAGAACTAGCAGTCAACTGGGGAAAAAGTTGAAGATTTTCATGTGGTGCTGCAATATAAATCAAATTCTGTGGTTCACACTCATAGCTTTGTGCTTTCAACAGCCAATGCAAAATCTTTCCAATAATCCTCAAGACCATCACTTTCATTTTTATGTTTCTCTTCTTCCTCTATAGCCATGTCTGGTGATGTAGCAGTTTGTTGTAAATCCAATGACAAATCAGCTGCTGCTAGAGCTGTGTCACCTTTTCTTCTTTGTTTAGGGACAAATGAGTCGAGCATCAGCAAACTGAGGTCTGATCTCCTTCGCTTTTTTCTCCGTAGGAAGTGAAAGGAACATTTGTGTTTCTGCTCTCTTCTCCGTTATGCTAGCAGCCTAGAATGAGAAACACGAGTTAAGAGTTGGAATGCAAAGTCTTTCATCATGGTACACATATAGTAGAATAAGCACAACAACAAAGATTTATAGAAGTTAATATTAGTTTTTTTTCTCAAACACGTAGGAGAGCTACACATCATTATATTAAGAAAATAAAGGGCGTACCCAGTGCAGAGAGCTCCCGCTCTGTGTGGGCCCTGCAGGGTCTGGGGAAGGTTGTCAGTGGCAAGCTTTACCCTCGCTTGTGCAATGCGAGGAGACCGCGACTCGAACCCAGGACTTTCCGGTCACAGGCGGTAAGACTCTACCGCTTGCACCAGACCCGCCCTTCATATTAAGAAAAAAAGGACGTACCCAGTGCAGAGAGCTCCCGCTCTGTGCGGGGTCTGGGGAAGGGTGTCAGTGGCAAGCCTTACCCTCGCCTGTGCAATGCGAGGAGACCGTGACTCGAACCCGGGACCTTCCGGTCATAGGCGGTAAGACTCTACCGCTTGCACCAGACCCGCCCTTCGCCCTTCATATTAAGAAAATAAGTAAAAAAAAAAGGCCTGAGGAGCAGCGAATGCAAGATCTTATGGTATGACCTTCCAATTCCAGTTTGTTAAACTAATAAGAACAAACTGGAATTGGAAGGTCATACCACAAGATCTTGCATTCGCTGCTCCTCAGGCCTTTTCTGCAACACAACTCTCTCAAACTGAATAGATGGTTGCCAACTGGTTTGCAAAGGAAACTGATTCACTAAAGCAGAACCTTGACCATATGGAACAATCTGCGTGTTCTTGGCTCCATAAGCATGCATGGTTTCAAATGCTTGGCTCCCATTAGGCGCCATCCTTTCTGTGACATTACTAGCCAATACACATGTTCTGACTTTCTAGCAGTAGCCACTGGCGTGGATCTTTAATAAGGCCACAGAAAATAATCAATTTCTGCATCAGCATTTGTCAGCATAAAGTCACTATGCAGCCCATCACTTTTGAGGATAACTGTAAAGAATATTTTCCTGTAAAAGGACAAAGTATAGTCTTACCAGCATTTCAGCAAGTTCGACACTAGCAGAAATAAGAAATGGAACTCCATCAGTAGAAACTTTTATCAGCCTGCATATTGGTAATCACTTTGACCACTGCAGACTGCAAAACAACCAAGAAACTTTTATCAGCCTGCATATTGGTAATCACTTAGACTGCAAAACAACCAAGAACTTCACATCATCTGCAAAACAATATGCTAAGACTGAATACAAAGATCGGTCGGTTCGGGGTTACAAGGGGAGGGGAGGGGACTTCATAAAAATGGAAACGCTGTAGAACATATGTAGCCAGAGATTAGCACTGTAATTTAACTTTACTACTGCTAGAAACAACAAAATGACAAGTTATTATGGGGAAAACCGGAAAAGGTTAAGCTGAAGCATTACAAGTCATCGGCATCCTCCGCATATAAAGTATTACCACCAACATGACTACTACCAAGGATTATTATCGATATATGTATTACTGTAGGCCATACCCTGTGGGGGAAAAAATGACTAACTAAAAACTTTCAAACACTTTGAAAACCACATGCCTTATATAGCTTATAAAGATTCTTGATAATTGTCAGCTGTAACGCATCATCCATATACATCGAAACTCAATACTGTAATCATAACTGCAAATTTTAGCTTATGACGGAGGAGGGCTCGTCACCAATATTCCTGACAGGAACACTTTCCAGCTTTGAAATGGTGAAACCGGTGCATATCTCTAACAATTATCTCTCGATTCTCCACGGCTGACATATATTTGATAGCTAGATGACAATCCCCACATATACATGCAGGTTTTTATTATCCTGATTGGGCGGTGCACCCAGAGGTCATCATGAGTCCAAAGGCTACGGCCAGTTTTTCACCATGGTATCTTAATGCAAACTCCCTTTCCTCTTCTTCCAACTCATGCAGCACCGAGTCAGTTTCAGGCGCATAACCAGCATCGGTAATCTTATGGATCAGTTTCTCCAGATATTGATAAATCTCTGGAGTTTTTGGGTGAGACTTCTCACCCCCATGAAAAACAAATGAGCAACACCAGCAATCTCAATCAAGCTATATCCTATTGGCTTCTTCAATCTTCTCTTGATCATTGTATTCCTCACCTTCTCGACATGGTTCATTTTACCAGATAGAGCGTATATATTAGAAAGCAGCACATGGTGGGATGGATTCTCAGGCTCGATGGCAATCAGTCGCTGAGCAACCTCCACTCCAAGACTGAAATTCTTGTGCATCTTGCATGCACCAAGCATAGCTGTCCAAACTTCAGGCCCAGGCTCTCCGGGTATAGAGTGGTGTATAAACTGCATCGCGTCGTCAAGAAGTCCCGCCCTTCCATACATATCAACCATAGAGCAATAGTGCTCAGCACGAGGGACCAATCCGTAGACACTCTTCATAGAAGCAAAAGCATCTCGACCTTCACTGACCAATCCCGCATGCGCGCACGCAGATAGGACAGCAACAAAAGTGACATCATTGGGTAGTGGCCCTTGCTGTCTCATCAAATCGAATAGCTTGACTGCCTCACCGCCATGTCCGTGCATGCCGTATCCTGCGATCATGGAGGTCCACGTAACCACATTGCGTTCCTGGAGCACGTCGAACCACTCACGAGCCTTGTTCACAAGCCCACACCTGGCGTACATGTTCACAAGCGCAGCACCAAGAACCACATTCATCTCCATCCTTTCAGAAACAATGAGTCTCTCAACTTCACGCCCCAAGTCCAAAGCGCCAGCCTGCGCACAGGCAGAGAGCGTGGCCACAAACGTCGCGGAATCAGGAGCCTCCCCGGCCACCTGCATCTCCCTATACACCTCAATCGCCCAGCCCGCAAGCCCGTTCTGCTCGTACCCTGAAATCATCGCGTTCCAAGCGACCACGCTCCTGTCACGAATCCCGTCGAACAGCTTGCGCGCAACGTCCAGCTTGCCGCACTTGGAGTAGAGCACGACGAGCGCCGTCTGCACGAACCGGTCGGAGCCGAACCCGACGAGGACGGCGTGGGCGTGCACGCCCATGCCGGCGCGGAGCGCGGACAGGTCCGCGCAGGCCTTGGCGGCGGCGGTGAAGGCAAAGCTGGAGAAAGGGAGCGCGGCGGCGAGGAGGCAGCGGTAGAAGGCGAGGGCGGCGGCGGGGAGGCCGCGGCGCGCGGCGGCGCGCGTGAGGGAGCAGAAGAGGAAGGAGTCGGGCGCCGGGTGGGAGGCGGCGAGGAGGCCGGCGTAGGAGGCGGCGCCAGCCGCGACCGCCAGCGTGGCTAGCTTGGTGGTGAGCGGCAAGGAGCGGGCGTGGCCGGAGACGACGAGGCGCGCGTGGGCTTGCTTCAGAGGGCCCAGGCGCGGGCCGGCGAGGAGGAGGGAGTTGTATTCCGGCGAGCGGTGGTGGTGGTGGGGATCCATACTGCAAACGGAAGGCTCGAATCCGATGGATAAATTGGCCATTTTCTCTCTAATGAATAATGATGCAGACACTGGCACTGCATTTCTTGGCTCCGATGACGGCCTTCCTCTTGCGTTAGCCTACCAATTGTGTTGTGTCATCACATTAGCACGTGTTCCAACGCCCTACTAATCTCTAATCTGCTCACAAGACTTGCTGTGGTGGTGGTCACTTCGATAATCATGGGATTACTGTAGTCGACATACCTCTGCTCAATGGAAAACGTGTCACATGGCACGATCGCGAGGAAAAATCTGCTCACAAGAGGCTTAGTATAACTGTGAGCATGAGACTGAGACCAATAAGAAAAAAAAAAAGACTACATGTGCGTCGAATTTCTATTTTTTAAAATGGGGATGTGTTGCTCTGCCAAATAACTTCTTTTTTCAAATACTCTTTTGATAGAATTTCTCACCTTGTTATTTGCTTATCATTTTTCTAACTTTTAATGCTTTTATTCATGGACAGTGTGTGATTTACCGTTATCGTCGTCACTGAATTCATATTGAATTGAATAAAATAAATATATGAATTGAACACTGTGCGTGGCTGCGTTAAAAAAAAAAAGGAAGCCATATTAGGGTGTATGAAACCTTTTTTTTTTTTTTTTGCCAGTACCGAACGCCTTGCATTTAGCTGTGTCACCAGCCAGCTAGAGAACTACAGCACACGTCCAACCAATGTAAATTTCCTTTCGCAATCCCAAACGGCAAACCATCCCACAAGTTTTCTTCCAGGTACAAAAGAGGTACCTGGCCGCCACATGTTAGATTCGCCATCTCAAATGAACTGAACGTGTAGCAACAACAAAAGGTAGGCAACGCTATCACAAGCCAAAACAAACAGAAAGCATGTAGATAAGTCGTATTAACTAACTGGATCCATCATAACAAGCAAAGTTTCTAGCCTCATAGGATGTCGTTAAAGAACCAACGCCCAACGAGCACCCAGGTGCCACTACCAAGTTCACTCGGCTACTATACAAAGCTATCCAGACAGCCAGGTTGTACTCCCAAAGTTGGTTGCAGTTCAACGATGTGGCTAAACCATCTCATTCTAGCAATTCCTTGCATCTCACAAAACTAGGTTCACTGGCAAAAAAACAGACTGGCAACAACTTCATGCCCTGTGCACCCATTGTTAATCATCCTGGATAAGATGGATCATAGGGAAGCATTAGACAGACAGCATTAGTGCCCGAACACAGGATCGCATGTCAGAGGAACTTCCAGCGAACCTCATCAGAAATCGTAGTCTTTAAGGTCCTTCTTGGAGTCGGCCAATTCCATCTCCACAATGCACTCCTCTTGGCTGAGAGGCGGGAGCCCATTCTTGTGGCGCGTGTAGTTGTGCTTGTGCCACCCACTCTTGCAGTGCTCTCTGTATAGCTTGTCCTCCACGAGCACATCACACTCCTTGCACCTTCTCTGCTGCTTGCCTTGTGCATTGCCCTGGCTTTCAGTAGAAATGCTCTGTTTCTGCATTGTCTCACTTATCTGAGCAACAGCATCAGGTTCCTTCACACGAGCTGCTTGTGGCACTTCGACACTGTCATGTTGCCCCACAGATGGGCCACTTTCTGCGTGTGCTGAGACAGACAGCACTTCAACCCTCCCTTGCACATCCTTCAACCGCTCCTCACACGAGTGCAAAAGAGATGGCTCGATCTCACATACCTGTAAAACATTATCCACAGTTACATGTACTACAACAACGATAATAAGGTTCAGCCCTGAGAAGAATTTTGGTTTCAGCAAATGATTAAATCAGCACCACCAAAAAATAGAAACACTAAAATAGGCTAAGTAGACTTCAATGCTAAGTTCATCATGCAAGGAACAGTGTATTACGATCAGGCTCCCGCTTCTAATATCCACCTATTCTTTCTACGATCAGGCAGCAGACACATCCCACACAAACTGGAGCCCATGAAATTTTTTACACACTTGACTAGGCATCATTGACCAAGCCTCTAAGCTATGTGATACAGACCACACATGATATCAAAAACCTTTTACCTTCTATGACATTGTGTATGCTGAACCCCGCCCCCGCCCACACACACACACAAAAAAGAACCTTTTATCCTCTATGACATTCTGTTCCTATTTTTTTCGAAATTGCTCAAGTGAAAAAGGGAACTCTGAGTACAAATTCCATACCAAATTACCAATTCACAATCATGTGATGTAGGAATAACCACACCAATTCACAATATGTGATGTAGGAATAACCACAGAAAACAAGAACCAGTAGACTTACAATAGAAGGCTGAGTGCTCAATTCATCCTTTGAAATGACAGTAGCATTCCATTCGCCAATCTTCTCCATAAGGCCTGGAAAATTGGGTTTTGGTGCAGTGAACCGCACCCTCAGTGGTGCACGCTTTATGGGGAAGTGCTCTGTGAGCTTCTTGATAACTTTTAGAGCCTACAAGACCAAAGTAGCTTTAACTTACACAGCGTGCCACAAAGTAGATACCCAAAGCAGAGACTTAAGTCAATCCACAGTCAGTGTGCCACATCAGCGTACAGAGCGAGTTAGGACTACAATCGAACTAAGGCGAAAGTAGTCATTTGACCACAACAAAAGGCCAAAAGGAGGCTTCCAAGTTGTACTACTTCAAAGCTGAGTCAAAGAAAATCAGTGAGAAAAAAATAACTCGGTTGCTATCAAATGACTACTTCCGCCTTAGTTTGATTGCATATTCAAACGACATAGTAATGTCGACACATGATCTATCCGTTCCTAATCTTTGGGACAATACTAGTCTAATAAACGCATTTGATTTGAGAAAAATAACTAAGGTTCACCAGATTTGAGAAGACGTTTACAATCCGTAGAACAGCTTTTGTAAAGCATGGCATAGGTGAAAGGTTCATTGTATAACTCACTGATTGTTGCCAAGCCAGATCTTGACCAAAAATAAATAGCCATGGCCTTTTGGATCGACCAATGACATCTCTTCAGAATATTCAACATATTGAGGGCTTGCCTGCTACGTTTTTTCGATGGTGTTGTAGCAGGCAAGCCCTCAACATGTCCAAAAGGCCATGGCTATTTATTTCTGGTTCAAGATCTGGCTTGGCAATAATCAGTGAGTTATACAATGATGAACCTTTCGCCCATGCCATGCTTTCCAAAAGCTATTCTACGGATTGTAAGTGTCCTTTCAAATCTAGTGAGTGGGTGGGTCCGTTCAAGTGTCAGAAACACCTTAGTTATTTTGCCCAAATCAAATGTGATTATTAGACCAGTATTGTGCAAAAGTTTAGGAACCAGCATCACGCTGGATAGATCACATGCCACCATTACTAGGTCGGCTGAACATGCAATCAAACTTATGTGAAAGCAGTCATTTGACAACAACCGAGTCATTTTTTCTCATTGATTTTATTTGACTCAGCTTTGCAATGGCCTCTAGTTGTTTGTAGTACAACTTGGAAGCCTCCTTTTTTTGCTTTTTGTTGCCTGGCGTCACCGTGCCCGAAACAAAAAATTGCATAGACAACTCGGCTGGTCCTGTGTGTGACATCATGATGCCAGGAACTACCAAAGGTAAGGCGACGGCTCCTCTGGCAGTGACTATGTGGCAAAGCCATGTAGCTGTCGTCATGTCAGATGCTTTGGCCGCAGGTGACAGGCAACATTGTGTCTGAGTTTGTGGAAGATTCCACTACTAATGTTTTAAAGGCACACTGCATAAGAAGAAAAGGAACCGATCGATTGATATATAGAGTGCAAGCAATCTAATTAATCTGCAAAATAAAATAAAAGCAATTCAACCTAGTATTACTGAAATGATTATGTATTGCACATACGAACCATGCCTTCAGAACCAAGAGAGAGAGAGAGAGACCGGTAATCAGTAACTAAAGTGACTAAGGCAGTACCAACTTGACAACCACAGCGAATTCCATCACCATCTCGCTATCCTAATTATATTAAACAGCAGCAGTGCCGCTGCCACCTTTTGTCAACAAGGGACACGCGATTGCACTACCACGGCGGCCGATGGAGACGGATCATTGGATCTTCAGATCCGTATGTGCACAACTATGCAGCACAGATACGGATACGCGTATCGGTATCGGGAGGATATGGATACGCCGATACGGCAATTTTCTAAAAAATCCGATACGCGGATACGTTTTACTATTTTAAAATTAAAAAGATAATAATGCATATTAAAACTAATAACAATAAAACATTGCAGTCTACTTAACTACTTAAGTTCTATTATTCGTTTTACTATTAATAAATGGCATTCAGGCTCGCATCAACTCCCTATTTCCTCATTTGTTTCACTCTCATCCACATTCCACAACATCAAACTGCAGAGTAGATCGAGAACGGAAAAAGGAGACGCCATCTACTCATATTTGGAGACGCCAGACGCCATCCACTGCATACAAAGAAAATCAACAAGAAATTAAGAAATGCAAAAACAGAGTAGATCGAGAATGGACAGAGGAAGAGGAAGTGCGGACCAAAGAAATCAAGCAACAATAAGTCATGAACTGCAGAAATATAGTAGAGATCGAGAACGGGGAAGGGGATGAACTCACGGGAGGTCGCTGGACGCCTGGATCCATGTCGCGGGGACAGAGACGTTGCCGGCGGCCAACGAGCAGGCCAGCAGGGGCGGAGGCTCGTCGCCGGCAGCCGGCGAGCAGGACGAGGCATCACCGCGCGTGTTCGCTGGAGGCGGCACGAAGTGCAGGAGTGCGGGCGTCGGGGGCTGGCGTTGGGGACAGAGGAAGGGAGTGTGCGAGTGTTTGTTGGGCTGGGCCGTATCGAATGGGCAGATACGTATCGGCCGACGTACTCAATACTGGCGAAATTAATAAAAAATCGGATACTCTTCAGATACGTATCCATCACGTATCGGACGCGTGTCTGTATCGGATACGTATCCGATACGGGATACGGCACCTCCCTGGCGTATCCGTGTTACATAGGTGCACAACACCAATGATAGTACATGCACAGGCATGGCAACCAATGGTAGTTAGCCTAGTGTCATTGGTAGCAGCACTACACAAACCATCCATGCATCATGCACACAGAACACGCTAACATATACCACACAAAACACGATATATATATATATATATATATATGTATATATATATATATATATATATGTATGTATGTATAAATAAGAGGAAAATTTATGGCCAGTCCTTCAACTTGCAAGAGGTGTCACCTAGGTCCCTCTACTCTCAAATGCTATTTCTGGGTCCATGAACTTGGCTTTGGGTATAATCTAGGTCCAAACGGGTCCCAACCCACTCTATACGCTAATGTGGCATGCTGATTGTGCATTGACGCAAGTCTCTAACTGTCCAAACTCTATATGCTCTTTGAGCTTCTTGATAACTTTTAGAAACAGAAGAAAAATAGAGTAAGATGGTAGATAAAGAAACTTTAACTAGCCAAAGTAGCTTTACAACAATCATCACGTTCTATATGCAGGTAATGTTGACAAGTTTTTAACTACTATGCTATATAAACATGCAGCCAATAATCATTCATTGAAATATACAAATTCAAAATCAAGATGTATTAGCTTGTTAGGTACAAAATTAATGACCATGTAAACCATAGCTATGCAATCCTTTATGTTGTGTATGATGATGAATTCAGTGTTGTAAACCTAAAACAAAAACTCAATCGGCCACCCATCCTATTAGCAATATTGCAGCATTCCAAATTCCATAAAAAAATTGCATCCAGCCAATTGTTAGGCCTAAACACTGAAGAGAAATTTCTGTACAGAATTGTGCTACACAAACTGCTACTACTAAAAGGCAGTATCACCAGAAAACATTACCACCAGAAATCAGGAGTTCAGGACATATATCAAGGCTAAAGGTTATAAGTTGCAACTCCACTGAGAAAAATGTGAAACAAATTCACAGCATCATTTCCTTGTTTTAACCTTAGTAAGTTAGTATAAAAAAACAGAAAAATGGCTAGTTAGTGAAAAAATAGATAAGAGTAACAGCCTACAGTACGTATGTATGATGATGAATTCAGTGTTCTATAGAACTAAACACCCAAACTCAATCAGTAGCTCGACGTAGCCTGACCTATTAGCAATATCGCAGTGTTACCAATTCTATAATAAAAAAAAGGAAGGCACCTACCTTTTTAGGTCCAGCCAATTGTCAGGCCTAAACACGAAACAAGAAATTTTCTACAGAATTGTGCAGTGCTACACAAACCGCTACTAAATATAATCAGTAGCCCCACCGATTAGCAATATCGCAGCATTACCAATTCTATAGAAAATAGGAAGTCACCTATCTTTTTTACATCCAGCCAATTGTCAGGCCTGAACACTAAACACGAAAATTTCTATAGAGTGATGATGGATTCCAATTGTAGTCTAGAGATGATTGGTGACGTGCAAGGGGTTCTGAAGGTGATTGCACATGAATCAGGAGGCCATGCCAGCAATTATATAGGCTAATAACTTATCTCCAACGAATAAGCTACACCCCACAGATGATGGATACAGATTCTAGCACAAAGGAGAATAACAAAACAGCCACCAGAAATCCAGAATGTTCTACTCCAGTAGTGGTCATTATCTCTCAACAAGGCATCAGATGTCCTCTTAGGTACGTACCTGTTCCTTGGAGGTGAGGTTTGGGTCGACGGCGAAGTGTATCTCGTGCATGAGGCGCTCGATCATGGTGATGGTGTAGGGGCGGCGGGTCTCCGGGTTGATGGTCTTCTCCATGACGATGGTGGCGATGTCGCGGAACTGGCTGGAGAGCTGCGCTTCCCTCTCCTTGCCGGAGACCTGGAGCTCCCCTTTCTCCAGAATCTGAAGAAGCAGAAGCAACAACGAGGAGCGCGTCTAGCACGGAGGATTGCGGGATCTGGATTGAATGGGGGTTGGAAAGGGGATGGACAGCCACCCTACCTCGATGCAGATTTGGGTCTGGTCGTCGGTGCCGAAGGCCTTGGTGAGGTCCTTGGACTTGGCGAGGACGCCCTTGGAGACGTTGGAGTAGACGGTGTGGGACTGGAGCACCTCGTCGATGTCCTTCTCGACGTGGGATCGCCAGGAGAGCACCTTGTTGGGGAAGCAGGCGATCTCGAAGCGCTGGCCGTGCTTCCGCAGCCGCACCACCGCCACGTTGGTGAGGCGCTTCTGCCCCACCGGCTGCACCAGCGTCCGCGACATCTCTTCCGGCGGCGGCGATGCCACCTGCCGGACACGAGCGAAGCGAGGGAGGAGCGGAGGGGCGACCCTAACCCTAGACACGCTGCTGGGCTTGGGAGTTGGAAGTTCCTAGCGCGGCGGAGACGGGAGCGTGGAGGAGGAAGAAGAAGAGGGATTGGGGACCCACCCGGCCCCGACGGAATGGGACGGTTTCGATTTGGGGGCTAGGGCCGGCGGCGGAGTGCGCGTGCGGCGGCGGGCGTCAGACGGTTCGATTGGAACCGAGTTGCTTTTTTTTCTCGATCCAGCGGCAGGAAGGCACAGACGGATCGGGCCATGAACCATGTACGCGATGTGGCCCAAGTAGCATTGAGAAGCACTCTTTTTTTTTTTTTTGAGGAAAAAAAGAAGAAGAAGAAACGGTGAAGAAATTTGGTAAATTCTCTGGTCTGCTCAGACTCTTTCACTTTGGGTCAAGTAAAATTTTAATTTGACAACCTAAATCTTAGAGCATACTATATATAATAATCTTAAAGGTTGGTTTCCATGATATTATTCGTGCACACACGAATTGATCAACGAGGATAACTCATTTTCCACATTGTTTTTTATCAGCCGCTCCTTTTGCCCTAGGTTCGCTTTTCGTATTGAAGGCAGTAAAGCTATTTATCTATTATTACCTCCGTCCACAGAAAAGATATAACTACAGTATTCATGCCCGTTAACATAGTTCAAGTTTGATCAAGTTTACAATAAATAGTATCCACATTTGTGTCTTTAAATCGAGTAATTATGAAAAGACATTCCATAGCTTTTTCGTATAAATTTGACTAGACTTAAAAGTATTTGATTCCTAAAAAACGAGCATTTTTTTTTTGGACGAAGAGAGTACCTTGCAGCATTCTTCTATAAGTCAACAGAGTTTAGATTAAAAAAGGTCAACAGAGTTTGAAAACATGTATACACTACTAGTACATTATTCTTTTAGACAAAATAACCGATATCCATCAGCTTTGTGAAAACAACATGATCAATAAAAAAAATGTGTTGTTCGGCTAATGGTTTTTGCGGCTGATAAACTGGTTGAAGCTGATTTATTGTGAGAGAAAAAACACTATATCATGGCTGGCTGATAAGACAGGCTAAAATTCAAGCGAACAGGACAAATTTGTGTGGGACGGCAGATGGGAGATTCAAAAGGACCGAGTGGGTTATCAAAAAAATAGGACGGAGTGAATAGTTATAGGACGGAGTGAATAGTTTTCTTGCGTTGCTATGGATATGATTGGGAATAAAAGAAACAGTGACATCATGTCCACCGTCATCCAATTATCCGGATCATACCAAGGAAGGCACACATATAACAACAACAAATTAAATGTAAAATATTGTAGGTCAAACATGGAAGATCCCATGGTCACTCCACCTATATATACGTATTTTGTATTTGTTGAAAGTGCTAGGACACGTATACCCCCACATTCCACAATATACCTGTTGGTTGCAACCATAAATAAAAGAACACATTAAGTTGGACCAAAAATGCACCATGGACAAGCCACAACAATAGCTTTTTGTACTATGAGTGGGCTCATCACATCGACGTGATTTATAGCCCAGTAGTCATATAGGCTTGGTTACCACTTGAAGGAGAGATGCGACGAGACGATGGTTCTATATGGAGTTTCAGCGTTTCTCGCGGAACCGTCGGTGAAGCTATAGCTACAAGAAAAAACAAAGAGAGAAGAATCACTTTAAGAGAAAGGAGAAATGATGAGTCAAGGCTTGCGTTGAGAGTTGTATGCTTAAATCTATCTTGGCCTACGTGGATCATGTTTTTGGGGCAAGATCAGGGACGTGGATATCAGCCTACGTTATTTGTCGATGCTTTCGTAGGAACAAGATAAACAATTCAAAGATAGAAGGTAGAAACAAATGCATAGCCAAAGTGTGTTTTTCCGGCAAAGATTGCCATGTTAAGTTGTTGTTTCGTGGCCAAACTAATGAATTTCGTTCTAAGCCCAGTGGACCAAGCAAATGGCTATGTCCGTTAATCCGGCTCCTTTTCCATCAATGCCACATGGGCCAAACACTTTTTTTAACCCATAACTCAGTACCAGGGCTACAAGCTGAGCTGGAGTGGAGTGGAGCCTCGATAGGTGTGTGTCGAAGTCCTTATCTCCGTCCTAGATATTAATAATAACATTCCTAGACAAACGAAGCAAATATACATGTACTGTAATAACACATTCTTACAATGAATCAAATTATATTTATGTTAACGTAACAAATATTAAACTACTTTTGTTAAAAAATTGTAAACTAAAAGGTGGTTTAACCTAGCACTATAATAGTTAGAAATACACTCCTTTGTCCTTTGAAAACGAGCATTTCTTCTTGGAAGTATTGTATATGTACACCTCCACATTCCACAATGTACGAAGCACGGACGCAGAGACGCAACAGTAGCATCCGTGCAAAATAGAAGAAGGGTTCAAATTCAAGAGGAAGGGGAAGCAAGCACGGTCAAACATCAGTCACGCAAAGGCTGCCTGCGAATGCCATGTGTGGATTGGATTATTTGGCTGTGGTCAAACCGATGGATTTTTCGTACGAAGCCCCAGCAGCGGAAGCAGGGCTACGCCTCTCCGCCTCAATGCTACGTGGGCCAGCACACTTGTTGGCCCTACGACTCAGCGGCTGGACTGCTCGCTACCCCCGAGTTGACCCCCAACAACCGGCGCAGCAACGCCGAACGCCCGAAGCCTGGGCGGGCCAGTCAGCCAGCGAGTTAGCTGAGCTGGAGAGGAGCCCCCGCCAGGTGGGACCCGCGTCCAGTCAGAGCCGTCCTCTCGGAGAGTACTACTAGTTCTAGCAGTACCAGGACCCGCATTCCAGCGCGAAGGGAGGCGAAGGGAACAGGTGAAGCGGCTCCGTTAGTTCCGAGTCGTCGCCTGGCCCCCGCTGCCCGTTCCGGGCGCCTCCACGCCTCCGACCCGCCGCGACATTTCGTCGACCACCTCCCCGGCGCCGCCGTCCTGAGCCATCGCACGCGCCACGGGGGGCGCCTCCCACGCCGGCTCCGCCCCGCCGCCATGGGCTCCAGGTCAGCACCCGATCGACCTCCCTCCTTCCCTCCCCTCACCACCACGCGGCCCGGCCCTTCCTTCCCCGCCAGCTTGCTAGGCCTTCAGCTCAACCTCTCGCGGCGCCCGTGCCTCGTCTCGTAGCCCAAGCCCCCGTGCGCCCCTTTCCGCGCGTTGCTTCCGATCAGGAAACTTGGTTTGCCTCGGGCCGCTGCTGGTTCCGTTGCAGCTGGGGGAGCCTGCTGGTTCGCTCCTCGCTCGCCTCCGCTTGCTCTGCTTGGGACTCGGACAGCTCGTCTCGTGTGTTTACCTGTTGATTGATTCACTCCGTGCTTGCCGCTGTTTTACTGGAAGCAAAAGGAATAGGCAGCGGGTCAAATTTAGTTCCGGGTGGGTGATCTCGGGTTCACCTCAGCCATCAGGTGGTGCAAATAGATTCTACCTCCCCACAGAAAACGACAATCAATTGCAGCTGTGCTGACCAGTGGCCGCTCACAAGTTGCTTGCTCTTGCACGTTTCAGCTTTGTTTCATGGCATCGTACAGTCCCGTACCTGGTTCTCTGATAGTAGTAACTGAAAACAAATGAAGCTACTGGCTTCGATTTCTGATACACTTGGAATAACTGTAGTCAAATTGGACTGTGGGACACATGGAAATCAGCTTACTACTAACTGTTTACTAACTGCTCTGAACTCAAGGTTACTACTACAGTAATTGTCTGCATCTTTACCTTACTACCAAATGTTTCGCTTGAGGTTACTACTAACTGTTTTGGTAATAGATTACCACTAATTGTTGACAACTTGAGGTTAATGACTGCAGTTAAGAATGTTTTAGCCATGTTGCTTAATGAGAGTAACATCGGAGTCATCATCCAAATCTGGTAAATTAGTGGATTGAAAGTCAGTGACTAGCAAAATGGAAATGGATCATGCTCATGCCTCCTTTTAGTTTCAGCAATAAACAGCTTGAACCGCCCATATACATGGAAATCGTGTGCACACCTATTGCTTTTGTATAAATAACCTGGCTTTAGAAATAGCTTGGTGATTCAGAGTTGAAGCACATAGATAATTCCTGGGATCATAGTCAGCTGTTTCATTATTTGGCTTGATCCTTATGTTCAAATTTTGGTTTGACTTGATCCTTATGTTCAAATTTTAGTTTCAATATCATAGCTAATATGGTTCAATGCTAACACAACACTGTGTGATGATGCAGGCTTCCTGCAAACAAATTCGATTACTATTGGTTACAACTTACAACCATTCTCTTTTGTCCTGTAGAGTCCTTCAGTTAGACGTTCCTGCAGATTCTGAGGCCTCTCCTAGGAGAAATGTACCAGGGAGTGTAAGTAGCCCTCTCATGAATGGTGAAAAGAGTCTATTTCGGAATCAGAATGCAGGGTTCACTGCACTTGCAAGTCCCGTGAGGAGAGAAATTGGAAACAGGCATGTATGCGACCCTTGATTGGTGTGATTTGTTCTTTTCTCTCTCTTTTTCCTTCCCATCTGTTTACTTCATCATAGATAATTGGTTAAAACTTAGAAACTCGCAATAACTCCATAAACACTGATCTTCTCTATCTGAATGAAAATGTCTCCACAGATAGTTATAACTGAAAGAAAAAAACATTCACAAACACGACCTTGTTTATCTAAGTATCTAATGAAATGTCTCCGCAGCAACTGCTCTGGAAGTTAACACAATCTGCTATGTTTCTGGATAATAATGGAGTATCATGTTCTCCAGATCGTTGACAAGGTCCTTCTGTGTTGATGACAATGACTTGGAAGATGGTAAGGCCTCAAAAGAAAGGGAGAGCTCTATACAGTCACTCGGGCTCCCAAAGATTCAGAATCAGGCTTTCCTATCTGGTCTGGCTTACTGTATATCATCATGCAGCATGATCTTAGTCAACAAATTTGTTCTATCTGGCTATGGTTTCAATGCTCCAGTATTTTTGATGTTATACCAGGTATAGTACTAGTGCTTACTTTCCAATTCTCATGCAACACAGTTGTGTTCCTGCCTTAAAGCATCTTTTCCATGTTCTGTTACTGCAGAACATTGTATCAGTGACCATAGTTTCTACACTATCCCTGTCCGGTGCTGTTCCAACTGAACCATTGACATGGAATCTAATCAAAGTTTGGTTACCTGTGAATATCATCTTTGTTGCAATGCTGATCACAAGCATGTTTAGGTATGTAGCAGATCTTCAGCGTCAGTTTGGTCTGAGTACTGTTTGCTGTGCTATTTTTAGATCTGTACACCTGATTTATTATTTGTTGATGGAGTATCAAATTGCTTCTTGGCTTTAAGCAGTCATTTTATTTTTCTATGCACTTGAGTTTACCCTCTTCAGGGTAAGGACTATGAATGCATCTAGTGTTTTCTCACCTTCCAGTCTAGAAATACAGATCACATAAGTAGTAATGGTGGTTTTTACAATCAGTACTGAAGTTCGATATATTCTGGGTTAAAATGCTTAGGCTATTTCTCTTTGAAAAAATACCAAGGAATTTCATTTGGCTAACAGTTGGTTGATTTTAAATTTTGGAAAATGTGTTGCCTGTCTCATGAATCTGCTCTATTCAGGGTTCATTTAGTGCCTTGTACAATAATGAACCTGAACCTTTTTGGTAGTTTTGTTGAACATTTTGTATTGATGTTTTCCATATTAGCTGTGAACGATTCTCAGTTCCTCACTCAACCTTGTACTTGTAGCAAGGAAGTTCGGACTGAAATTGGAAGCCTTTTATAAACTTATTTACTTCATTTCTTAATATTTTTCTTTACTTTTCAGTTTGAAGTACATTAATGTTGCAATGCTGACTATATTGAAGAATGTCGCCAATGTCCTGACTGCTTCTGGGGAAACTTATTTTTTCAAGAAGCAGCATGGTACTCAAGTTTGGATTGCTCTTATGTTGATGGTATGTCATATTCATATGCTAGAAAAGCTCGAGGAATGAGGAGTTCATTTCCTTCTCAAGTGTTTTCCACCAAATAACTTTCAGTACACATGCTACTAGTTGATTGCCTGATTCACCTGCTCCCTCCCAAATATCTAATAATCTGTGAAATTTTGACTCAATAATTATGTATTGACCCTTCAACACCTGAGCCATTGATACGTCTGTGCAGATAATCTCTGCAGTTGCGGGAGGAATAACGGATCTGTCATTCCATGCTGTTGGATATATCTGGCAGACCTTAAACTGTTTTCTGACGGCGTCATATTCGGTATTGCTTTCCGAAGTACAAATGACAAGCTGATTAATAGTTTAGTACATGCAGTCAGCTATTGAATTTTCAGTCCAGCCAAATGATTTTAGTTATTATTTCCAGCCCCTTAGATTGGCACTTCAGTTTACAAGACTAGTGCATTTAGTTGCAAAGGTATTAAACATTTATTTCAACTAATTAGCTTTTCCTTTCAGCTTACATTGCGGCATGTAATGGACAGTGCTAAGCAAGCCACCAAGTCTGGGAATTTGAATGAGCTTTCAATGGTGTTGCTGAATAACGTTCTTTCACTGCCATTGGGAATTATCCTTGTGCTTGGTTTGAATGAAGTGGAGTATCTTTTGGAGACGTAAGCTATTGATTCAACCTTCACTATTTTTTTTTATTTTTCTATCATAAGCCTATGGGATCTGGTGCAAGCGGTAGAGTCTTACCGTCTGTGACCGGAAGGTCCCGGGTTCAAGTCGCGGTCTCCTCGCATTGCACAGGCGAGGGTAAGGCTTGCCACTAACACCCTTCCCTAGACCCTGCACAGAGCGGGAGCTCTCTGCACTGGGTACGCCCTTTTTTTATCATAAGCCTATGGGGCTACACACAAACTGCTGCGATCTCCATTTATGTATCAATAATCATTTTTCAATGACTTGTCATGCAGTCTCCTCTGCCCTTTCTTGTTCTGCAAACCACATTTAGGCATGTAAACATGATACGAGTCTGGTGGGACATGTATTGTTACCACTTCTGAAAACTTGATAGGAAAGCATATCCAGAGATAAGAAACGGAAACTGTACATAAACTTTTCATTCCCTTCTTAAATGAAAGGCAGAGCTCCTGTCAGTCCATTCAAAAGATAAGAAATGGAAACTGTAACCACTAATTGATGTATCTTCTATGGTTGAACCTTTAATTACTCCATTAGTTAGGCTTCTTCTGAAAATTTACACGTTCACTCCTCCATCTTGTGGTTATGTATTTGCATCTGAATCTGCAGACCTCTATTAAGGATGCCTGAGTTTTGGCTGGTCATCACTGCCAGTGGAGTTTTGGGGCTTGGAATCAGCTTTACTTCCATGTGGTTTCTTCATCAGACAAGTGCAACAACATATAGGTACCTAATGCATTTGATATTTGAAATATACATGTGAACACAGATAGGTTTCCATATAAAACTTTTCCAGCTTTGCTTAAATGTGAATCCATAAAGGGTCGCCACTGAACTCGTCTAAAAGATTGCTGCTTGTCCTCTCTATCTTCATCTGTTTTTTACTTTTCTGATGCCAATATTGCTTCTGATACAGCATTGTGGGCTCCTTAAACAAGATCCCTCTTTCCATTGCTGGAATCGTTCTCTTCAACGTTCGTACAAGCATGCAGAATTCTTTGAGTATTCTGTTTGGTAGGTTATATTTACAAACGAGGCTAAATCTATTGTTACTATTTCTTTTTTGTACCCTATACCACTAACGATCTCGGACACTTCACAATGCATGCAGGTCTATTAGCAGGAGTATTTTTCGCCAGGGCCAAATTGCGAGATAACTCGCCGACCTAGTAATCACCAGGCAGGCTTTATAGTTTGTAGAAGGCAAGAGATAGTTACCGGTGATGATCATCAATCAGCTCAGAAACACTCCCTAGAATTACCTCTGGGAAATTTGTGCAGATGCAATGGTTGTTTCCCACCTGACTAGGCGAAGTGACAACACAAGCACGCGGATTGGCCGGGGACTCTCTCGTTCTTTTTTTTTCTCCCACAAGCTGACCTGGACCCCAGTCGATCGTCTTCTGGTGGTATACGTCTTCGTTCTTGTTGTAAGATAGTAGAAAACATGGATGCAACTGAATTTCAGGCAGTTTGGGATGGAAAGGATGGTTGAGTCGGTGTATTGTATTGTAGTTTGTAGAGTCACGTTGGCTGGACTGAAGGGGGATGTAAATTTCCGCGTGCAGCAAATTGATTGCTGTGGTTGGTTCCATATGATTCCACTTGACCAAGGCCAGATTTCTGGTTTTCTTTCTCTTTCAGAAGAAATGCTCAAGTTCCAAGTTTTGGGAAGAAGGGGACCTTTTACAGTTTTTATATATACCAAAAGAAAAGTACATTAGGTGCACAAAGATTCCCCACAGTTCAAAAGGTCCTAAAAAAAAAGAGGGAAAAAATTGCGGTCAGTTGTAGTCATCCAACATTGTGAGCACGTTACACACCTGGTGTATCACTACCAAATACCAATAGCCGTAATATGGTAATAGGTTCCGTGCATGGGAAATATAAGTACAAAGTATCTAAATCACACGTAGGAAAAAGGATACATGAAAAAACTGTATGAACTAGTTTGTTTGTTTCTTTCAGTGCACAAACAAGATGGTCCTAAAGAAGCAGAGAAGAGCAAGCCAAAGATTTAGTTGGTAATGGGCAATGTCGGTAGGCCGTGGAGCCAGTCCTGCGTAGAGCTACGCAGGCAGCCCAGCCCAAACTCTCTGCTTTGATAGGCTCTCCAGTCATCATCCATGGATTTGGCGGCCAATGGCCTTCTGTCCAAAGATATTTGTTATCTATTACATGAGCATTTTAGTCATCATGAAGTCTTGTTGATTCATCGAGTCTATAATAAGTCTGCGCATGAACTAGCGAGGCTAGGTATGAGTTGGGACCCGTGGTGCATCATGTGTCTGGTGACACGTCCTCCCGGTATCTGTAACTAATCTGGTGGCTCACGATCGAGCTGAGCCAGCTCTTTCAATTGAAAGGTCGTAGAGCCATGTGTTGACATTAAAAAAATTCTAGCCTACCAAGAGAGCAGCACGCCCATACAATCCTTCTTTCGCCCATCAATCTGCCCCAGGCCCATGGCCCCAAGCTGAGGGCGGTCGACCTCTCTGGCCCGGCCCATGGCCTGACCTCCGCTCTCCATAGGACCCAATTACTCACATCACATATAAATTACTAGCACATATATCCGTGCGTTGCATCAGGAGAAAAAAAAGTTCGACTTGTTTGCTTTAGCTTGCTGCACAGCTGCAGCTGCCGCGACAACTTAATTTGTATAGGTGACTTGATGTCGTGAGTGGTTGCTGCAACAATTACAAACGAAAGGGGTTTGTTAATAGAAACAAGGATGCCAATGTTAAATATTTATGTATTATTCTTTTTATAAAATTTTAAAGCTATACTTTACTTATTGTATGATGATCATTGTATCCGTACAATATAAGTTAATATTGGCAATAATATGACAATGTTGTATTAATTATGTATTGAATTAAATTACAACCTAGATAGGATTTTTTCTTTTGCTGTGGGACATTAAAATATTTACTCGCAAATGTATCCTAACTTTAGTTTTCATACTATCCATGTGTCGGCAGAGTTAGATATCAAAGTTCAGTGACTTATTTTGAAAATCCATAAAAATATGTAATTTTAATATCTTATTAAAGTCGGCATGGGTTGGTCGTCATCGTGTCTCGATTTTCACATGTCAGCACTTGTTGTGAGTTGCACTGGTATATGCGGATAACTTAAATATTTGCACTGATATGTAGATAACTTGGATGAACATTTATTTTGATTAGATTGAATGAAAATTTGCTTAATATTTTAGTTTACGATTTAATTGGTTAGACCATTGACTGATTCATATTATAGTAATGATTTATATTTAATTAAAACTAACAATTTAGTAATAGAAATATTTATTTATTAAGGTTCATAATTTCAAACGTAACACTGTATTTATTTTTACCTTTACCTTTATATAAGAAAAGCATAGTACTTTATTAGAAAAGAAAAAACAAAATAAAATCACGGAAGAGGCAATCGCGGACACCACCGTGCATGAGCGGGGCAGCACATCCAGGATGAGACACCCCGATGGACAATACGGAACATGTACGGGCCGGAGAAGGAAAAAAAGCAGAGATTGAAATAGAAAAAAAGGCACGAATAGGGCGCTGGTAATACGGACAGAACACGGATTATGTTGGACGAAAATTTAAAGTTTGCAAAAATTTTGCCTCTTTAATATTATGGCAAATATGCCCGTATGTCGCAACAGGAGAGAAAAAACTATAAAACTTTAACAGAAAATATTAAATTTATATATTTATTTTTTATCCTTTCTAGAAAATTTAGTAGCTGTAAGTTATTCTTGGATCACTATGACATCCATAATATAAGGATGCACGTATTTGGTACGGCTATGTGCCAAGTGCTTGTTGTTGGAGTGGAACCGGAGTCGAAGGCCTTCAGGCAGAGCCAACGTTTGGCGCTCCGACTCTGGTAACCAAAACAGTTTTGGCTCCATGTATGGAAGTGTAGAAGCGTTCCTCCCTGCGATCTCGTTTGACGTGGCTTCGCTTGCTATGGTGCTAGAGCCGTTAATATTGCCAATTGTATAATAATATTCTATAAGTTATTATTGGCAATAATATGACAATATCCTATCAAGTTTATATTGAATTAAACTGTAACCTTGATAGATCTTTTTTTCTCTATTGTAAGGTACAAAAATATTTACACGTAAATATATCATTATTATTTTCATGTGTGCCTTCTCGTGAATGATGAGATCGATGTCAATCAAGCAGGTTAAGGAAGTTGCAGTCCGATCTGTGTTTTGGCATTATTTGTTTAGAAAGCCTAAATATCATGATTAGTATCCTTGCCGGTTTATATTATTGTTTCTATTCTTGCATGCCATGTACACGTAAGTGGCTGGTTTTGAGTTGGTCACGTAGTTTATTTGCTTGGTCCATCACGTAGAGGAGTCAAGTCGGAGTTTGTCACTTCCTGGTGCGAGTCACGGTAGGGGCTGGCCTACGTGCCTAGAGAAAAACTACACATGCAGATTTAAACTCTTATTATCTTTTACTATTTGCCTTAAATACTCCTATTCAAGTTATTTAGGATGAGAGGAAATCTATTTGGTGGCTTATGAGTCCGGGTAACATATACACGACCTAATACGTTTTGAAATCGGACTTCGTATCACGCTAGACAAAGAGCTGTTCTAACTCATATAAATCCGGATGGAAGAAATTCTCCACTATCCGGTAGTTAGAGGGAGACGGACAAAAAAAATGGACAGATCAAAAAAATGTGGAGAGAAATTTTGCCTCTTTATTATTAGGGATAGATGTGAGATACTCCACTAGCCTGCACTACCCTAGCTGCTTCCGCTCTCACCGCTGGGGATTGAAATCGCTTGCCGGGGAGATCGGAGATGTCAGGGCGAGATCTGCACCTGCTACGTTACTGGCTCTCTTGGCGGTGTGGGGTCATTCGTCGTCGCCCTCATCTAGATCTAGGTAAGGTTGCATCCTGTTGACGATCATTAACATTAATTATAAACCATCAATATAACCTGCATATATACTTAATTCCATCACCAAACATAGGCACAGGGGTTTAAACTAATAAATTCCACGAGTTTTGCTAAATCTGTGTTTTCGGTAGGATTTAATCAGAAAACCGTCAAGATGACCTATTCGTAAAAGCAAATCACGTTTATCCGCAACGAAACTGACGCGGGAAGACTCTAGAAGACTCTAGAGGGCAAACCACCGAAGATAGGGCCCACCTGTCACTGTTAGGCGGGCCGGCCTATGGGGTCCATCGGTCAGCCTTCGTTTCGAATGTCGATTCTCCACCGCCTCCTAGATTGCATCTACGCCATCCTTTTAAGTCGGTTTGATCCGAGGGTCCAGAATTAACGCTACCTTCTATATATACGGCCCTGTACCCCCCTCCCTGGAGTCATCCTGAAACCATAATTCATATTCTCCTCATCAGGATCAGAGCCAGCTATAAGAGAAAATTAGTTCTCTATAGGATCTAGTCTTATGAATAGAAATAGTGAGATAGAGAGTAAGAGAAGAGTTTGGAGGAGGTGTCGGCCTGTCGGTGCTCTCTCTACGGCTTGTCCCTTGGTAGATCCAAGTTCTATCTGAGCTTGCCTCTGAGATTTCTCTGGTAATCAACTTCTGATTCAAGTATGCATCTTGTTTATATTGTTCTTCAGGTTCACGATTGTTTTGAGTGCTTTATTCCTACTCTAGAGGGAGTAAAGTATTAATTGTAAGTGTAAGCGTGGTACTTAGACTTAGGTCAATCGTGGATGCACCCTGTATTCCAGATCGGTGGTAGCTCGCGAGGGTGACTCTTATAGCCTCGTTGAATCCTTTGTAGTCCACCTCCCGTCTATAGGTCAAGTAGGACCCGGTTACGAAGGAAAGCATCATCTGCTGGTGTCTTTCCTTAGTAATGTCCCTAGTTAAATAGTAGAAGACATAGCTTATCCAATTCAGAACTAGCGAACCTTAGTAATCCTTTTTACGCTCCTATTTATCCTAACCTTGTTGCTACCCCTAGTTAAGTTAGATCATAGTTAGTCTCATACGTTTCCCTGTAGATACGATACTTGGAATACTTCCGGGTGAAAGCTACAGCGGTATCCGTGTGCTTGCGGATTTATCTATGTGCGATCATAAATACCAACAAGCTTTCTAGCGCCATTGCCAAGAAAACAGTTGCTGAATTAACTACGAACCTAG